TCCTTGGAAATTAGGGTTTCTCTTTACAGCATCTACACGTCGAGTTGGGCCTTCCAAATCATCGAGTAGATCCTAAGTCCTGTGTCCAAAAATGATTTCTACTCGACGAGTTGGAGCTCCCCAACTCGTCGAGTTCCAGTCTAAACCCCTAAATTACTTAGAAAATCAAATGATACCTGGAACACGCGTTACATGCTGGTGGCTATAGCGTCAACGATGAGTAAATGATGGAAATGGTACGAAGAAGAAAGACAAGGGAGAAATGGGGTAGGGTTGGGATTTTGTTATTTTCACATTATTAAAATTTAAATTGATTAAAAGTTAGAAATGCCTAAAAAGAAAAACAGAAAATATATTAAAATGGATAAAATGGACCGATGTGTAATTTTTTTAAACCATAGGGTCCATTTCTTGTAGTGTCTAGGAACATTGACAACTTTTGTCCATTTCCTGAAAACCATCGCAAGTGACTAAAAGGTGTCTTTAATAAAATAACTAGATTCAAAATCTACCTAACTAGCTGTAAAATTATGTAATGATAGGTGACTAGAACGACTCTACAATGTTGAGTGGTAAGGCTAAGGGGTATGGTCACACCCAACTTACTCAAAAAGTGACGCCACATCAGCTCCACTACAAACTCACTACCAAACCACTAACCCTTGGAAATGGTTACCACTTCATATCGTTTTTGTTTTTGTTTTTTTTTTACATTATTAGATTAAATTTAAAAAATAATTCAAATAAAAACACACATTAAATTAAACCAGATTACATTAATTTTAAAACACACATATTAAAATCCTAACATACTAAAAAAAAAATCTTAAATTACTTAAAAAACATTAAAAAAAATCCTAAATTACTTATTTATCCTAAATTACTTAAAAAACATAAAACATGCCAACTAAAACATAAATATTAGAAACTACTTTCCATATTTATCGCGGACTTGTTGTTGGATTTTGAGAAATGTCACGAGATTTTCCGGGTCGAGATCGGGTTGGGGCTTTGTGTTTATGATTTGAAGATCGGTAAGAGCGATTTTTTGGCGACGAGATTCCTCCGTTGATTCATATTTTCTTTGTAGAAAACTTAGAGTTTTATCTATGGATTCCACAAGCCCGTTTGTGACATCCCCAAAATCACGGCCGGAAAAGACCGGTTTCATTTATGCTTTTAAAATAATTTCAGAGTAAATCCATTGATTTAAAAAGAGTTGCGGAATTTGTTCCCAAAAACAAAATATGATAAAATAATATTTACCAAAGCATTTCATAAAGGAATGCATTTTCAATAGATATCAAAACTCGGGATGTTATGTTCCGATACAGACCAAAAAGCATAAACGACAAATTACAAGCCATACAACAGTTATATACAACTACAGGCTTATAAACAAAATAACTTGATGATTCATCCATCTTATGCCCTCGCGCCACTTCCTGTAATACAAATAAAACTGAGTGGGTCAGGCTTGGGAGCCTGGTGAGCATATAGGGTTTTCAACCCACAATAATATAATTATTATTTTCAGTCATCAAACAATCAACCCAATTACCCATCCCCATTATCTTCTTTATTTCTTAAGGTTTTACCCTAAGAATCGACTATCCTTCCTTCATTCGTTCCTAAGGATTGACCTAAGGAATTGGCACAAAGTCCATTGCTGCCCGAGGTTCCTATAACAAACACTAAATCCATAGCTGCCAAGGTTCATCTATATAGTACTAAATCCATAGCTACCAAGGTTCATCTATATACAGTACTAAATCCATAGCTACCAAGGTTCATCTACACTGTACTAAATCCATAGCTACCATCGTTTTATTATAAGGCATTAAATCTATAGCTGCCAGGGTTTTTAGAGTACACCGGTGAACATCAAGTCCACAACACCTACAAGTTGCGAGCTTGCTAGTGTTCCACTGGACTGTCTAGAATAGTCTGTGGTTGTCATCCCTACTCTGATGAATGACGGGGGCCATCGTTTGGGTAAATGTTTCACTCATTTTCACCTGTCACCCTCATCTCATGATCTATATCATTTTTCGTCTCATCCTCAAACTCATCTTTCTCACACACCAACTATTTCATCTACCCATGTTCTACCCAACATATTTGTAGATATAAATTACATATATAGTTTAAATCATATACAAACCTGTATAAAACATTCATCCAACATCCATCTCAAATAAACAAACAATATATAAACACATAACACGTATTTCATAGCAAATACTTCATATCTGTGTGTTAGAAGAAAGTAACTACACACTCACTTGATAAAACAATGATAGGACAGCACTACAGCTCTAAATGTAGTATTCTTCGGTGAAACCAGGAGATCTTCACAAAAATCGGGCTTCTCGCGGGCAGAGTTTAGGCTCGGGAACTCTGTTTCTCAGGATCTTCGGGGCTTCGGGTGTCGGGATGATACCGGGGCTTTGGGGTTATTTCTTGCACGTAAAACGAGGTAAAACGGGAGAGAGAAAAGAAATTTAGCAGCCAAACTCGACTGCCTTCATGTTCTATTTATAGTGTTGAAGTCTGCCGCGAACGCTGGGCGTTCCCTTCGAACGCGGTGCGTAGGAGCGGGGTTCCGATCCTATCCCTTATCCGCTAAGTCAGCATCGACGTGGCCACTCCGGAGCCAAGTATTGAACGCAGGGCGTTCCCCAATTGAACGCGGGGCATTCCCCCTTTGGGATGCGTGCCTCGAACTTCAGAAAATCATAACTCTCGCATACGATCTCCGTTTTCGACATTCTTTTTATCAACGCGTAGGTGAGATTATGCTCTACAACTCTCGTTTAGACTCCGTCGGCAAATTTTGACTTTATTTTTATTATATTATTTTTAGTAGGCCGGGACAGGAAAACTCCGTTAGAAATTCATAACTTCTTCATCTGACGTCCGTTTTCGTCTGTCTTTTTACCGTTGGACTACTATCGACGAGATCTTCGATTCTTGTTTAGATTGTTTCGGCTAGAAACCACTCGATCTCATATTCGAACTTTGGGCTGCATACCGCTAAGTCGAAACTTCGAAAAATCATAACTTCCTCATACGAAGTCAGACTTAGACGTTCGTTTTATGCATGCTCTCGGTTTAACGTATTCTACGACTTTCGTTTAGATCACTAAGGCTAAATATCGCTCTATCGTAAATTCACTATTTACGTCGCGCAATGTCGTGCCGGTTCTGTCGCGAAACTTCGACAGGTCATAACTTCTTCATTATAACTCGGATTTCAGCGTTCTTTATATGTACGAGATCCTTGTAACATATACTAAAACTTAGTTAAGATTATTCCTTCAAAATAATCTTCCATCAAAAAGTCATTTTTGATGCTCATTGTCTCTAAATTGACTAGCCCTGATCTACGGGCGTTACACCGTCGTTGCTAGTTGCGGTTGTTTTTCCGCTTGAAGACGCCGCCCGCTTTGCTTTGTCTCTTCCCGGTGGTCGACGGAGTTGGACTTCCGGTAGACCTTCTCCATCGGCAACATCGACGTCATAATTGAGGTCTAGCCCAAAACCCGCGTCCGAATCAGAAGTTCTTGGTCTTTTGTTGGAGCCGGTGGTCGAGTCCGAATGTGATGTCTCTGGATTAAGGGCCCATTTTGGACCATTACGGCAAACTTCTCATGCTTTTTGGTGACCAAATGGTTTACCATTGTTGGTAACTTTGAGTTGGTAGCATGTAGTTGATAAAATGTTGAAATCGTTAGATCCACTTTTATGCATATTTTTTAGATTTTCAAATATGCCATTAAACTTTGTGCAAATCGCGCGAAGATCACGCCATTTTCCGTTGAACGCGTCATACGACCGACTCGTTTGCCTTCCAGGTAACGCGTGAAAGTGATCCAAAACACGATGCCAAAAACTTTCTCCGGTTTGCGCGTTGTCTCTTCTCGAGTCACAGGATATGAAAATCCAAGCTTTTGCTAAAGCTTCTTCCTCTTCTTCGTTCCAAGCCAATGCTTTCTTTTTCCCTTTTGCTTTTGGTTGCCTTCTTCGGGATGGTTGTGGTGTTTCTTGGACCCGTTCATCGTCGTTGTCGAGGTTCACAGTTTGGGATTGAGATAATGGGACTTGAGATGATTGTATTTGGAATTGTGGAGAAGTTTGTTGTTGAAAACCTTGGAATTGGGGTTGAATGAATTGTTGTTGTGGTCGTTGTTGTTGGAAGAATTGTGGGTTGTATGGAAGATTAGTGAATAAAGGTTGTTGTTGGATTGGAGAGTTCAACAATTACATGTATGTTTGATAATCACTTGGAGTGTTTGGAGTGGGTGAAGTATTTTGGTTTGGATCCATTTTTTGAAGAAAAGAGAAAGAAAGTAGGAGAATTTTTTTTATTTAGAAGTGTAAAATGAAGATAAAGTGTAGTATATATATAGATAAAAGATGTTATTTAAATTTAAATTTTTTTTTTTTTTTGTAAACTCCATAAACGGTCGAAAAAAGACCGTTACACACACACACACACACTCTCTCTCTCTCTCTCTCTCTCTCTCTCTATATATATATATATATATATATATATATATATATATATATATATATATATATATATATATATATATATATATATATCTCATCGCAATTCGTCGTCTTCGTCCATGGAAGGGGCTACGCCACAAGACACCTACGCGCACCTGGGGCGGTGTTCACGCGTAGGTGGCTTTGCCACGTCACCTCTACGCGTCTTCTGCCCCTCCCATACCGCACAGCCTAATGGGTGAGTTTGATTGTCTCTAGACCTGATTGCTGCTGCTACTACTACTAAGCAATATATAGGTCCCTGCTCCCGAAAGAGCGGGTGTGGGTCAATGGGACAGATATTCCCTTCTTATTGAATCATAAAGGAAGTAATTAATAATATGTAAACTGACAATCTTCTTATACATTATCATTCATATATCAAAATAGAGCAAAGACATATAAATATATACGGAATGTATACAATCACACTTCTCAGGCAGGTCCTATTTATGGAAGGGTATGGAGAGCTTGCGTATTGAATCATAAAGGAGGTAATAACATGTAAACAAACAATCTTCAACCCAGTCTAGCCACCTTCTACGCCATTGAGGATTGGTGTAAAGAAGTCCAGCAAATCCCAATAAGAACACAACACATGTCGAACTACAACTTCCATAGAAGCATGACATATCGATATCATACCATTTCTCAGTATCTTCTTCGGCTGGTGGATCTGTTACTTGTGATTTAGTCGCGCATTTCTTCACCAGTGGTGGTCCACAAAGAAGTGGATTCCCTTCATAGCTTGCCTCTGTAAAGGTACCAAACTGTGATTTCATTTCTGGGAGTCTTCGTGATAGATTGTTTTGAGAAACATTGAAAACAGATAACGAAGTAAGCTTAATCAGTTCTGATGGAACTCTGCCAGTTAAACCATTTGAAGAAAGGTCCAAGCTCTCTATCTTTGCAAGATTTGAGAAGGTCACTGGAATTGGTCCAGTCAGCTGATTCTGTGACAGGTTCAAAGCACGAATCTGTGTTAACAACCCCAATTCTTCTGGAATTTCACCTGTTAGTTTGTTACACGATAGATCCAATCCCAACATGATATCAAGGGCATCACCCTTGTATGGGAGAGAGAGGCTTTTTGTAGTAAACTGAACTTCATCTTGTATTTCAAACATATGATTGTGGTCCTCTGTATAAAATGTTTTATCTAGAACACTCCTATAATTATACAACAAATGACTAGGGTATACCCTAACGCTTTGTTTCATAAAAGCAAGGTCACTTGGGCCTGTAATATTTTGTAGGCAACTTGGTATTGAACTAGAAAGGGAGTTGTCGGATAAATCTATCAAACTCACATTACTTAATTGGCACAGCTGCTTTGGAATAGAGCCACTAAAGTTGTTTTTTCTCAAAAGAAGAATCCTTAAATTGGATAGTTCGCCAAGAAATTTAGGAATCCTCCCTGACAAGTTGTTGTCGCCTATGTCCAAAGTCAAAACGTTAGTCAAATTACGAAAGTAATTGGGTATTGATCCTGTGAATCTGTTGGAACCCAAATGAAGATGCTCCATATGTTGCAAATTTAAGCAGGATGGGATGGGCCCAGAGAAAGAGTTATGTGAAATATCAAGAAATGAGAATGGAGCTGCTCCACAAGGAAACTGGCCTTCAAATGTATTATTTCTCATCACAAGTTGAGACAGCCTACTCATGTTGCTTATTCAAACAGGGATCATACCTTCAAACAAGTTATTGCTAATATCTAGAACAGTCAGAAGTTCAAGCAATATTTCCTTACTCCAAAGTCCAAATTTCCCCGTGAAACGGTTGTTATCTAAGTGAACCCTTTCCATGTTACCCAAGCTTAAGTTTCCTGAGAGTACCTGACCATGAAATTTGTTATTTGATAGTTTTAATACCCTCAACTGAGAGAGATTTGTAAAGAATCCCTTTGGTACTTCTCCTGATAACTCGTTATGAGATAAATCCAGTACCCCTAATATTCTCAGATCACCAACCGAAGATGGGATAGCACCACTTAAAGCGTTCCTCGACAAATTTAAATAATATAAGTCCGGAAAGATTTTGTGTATATCCTCAGGAATAATACCTATCATGTGATTTCCAGAAATATCCAACCCTTGCATATTAGCATTTCTATACAGCAGCATACTGCCAAAAGAGTTGTTCCTTAGATTAAGAACATTCAGATTCGTATTATTTTTTATCAACCAATCTGGAAACTGACCCTTCAAGGAGTTATCAGACATGTCTACTACACGCAACTTGTGCTGGTGAAGTAAAAACCCAGGAACAACACGTCCTTTATGCCTATTCACATTGCAATTAGATAGCTGAAGAACTTTCAACTGGAACAATGGAATCCAGCCTATAGGCTCTTCTGTTTCAACCTCAAATTTGTCATTGTCACTTCTAAATCCAACTACCTCAAGCTTTGTAAGATTGAAGAATGAGCTAAGCAAGAATGAACCTTCAAATTTGTTATGACTAAAATCAATGTACTCGAGAGACGTGAGATTAGCAATGAGTGATGGCACAAGTTTCCCTGTGAATCGATTTGAAGAGATATCCAACAACTTAAGACTGGATAAATTGTTGAAACATTGAGGCAGAATTCCATCGAGCATGTTGTGACTAAGATCCATCTCATGGAGGTTATTCAACTCACACAACCCTGCCAAAGAGAAAAAAATGTAGTTCACCCTGTAATAATTACAATGAATTGCACTTGCATGGTCATATGGCATTAGAAAGATTAACCACGTGAAATTTAATGTTAGAAAAGGCGTGAACCATGGTCTGGTATGGTTAAGATAACTTACCATGGTCTGGTAGTGAGCCGTTGAGTTGATTGTAAGCAAATGAGACAACTCTCAGGAAAGATAATGCATGTATTGTTGATGGGATACTCCCAACAAACTTGTTGTGACTCAAATCTAAGACCTCCAGATGGTGGGAAGATGCAAAAGCTGGATGACAACAAGAGAGGGTTACATATGTAGGTTACTATAGGAAAACCGCGAAAAAGAACTTGTTACAAGTCATGTACTTTTATAGTTGAAGCTGGACAAGCTCTTGCCACCAGCCCACATGTTTAGTCTTTCATATTTTTGATTAGTTGGTATTTGGTAGGTACTTGACAATTTATCTTAACTTATATACCAATAATAATGTGTAACTGGGAATGATCGAAGAAAAAGCGCACCTTCCATTTGTAGTGTCCCACTGAAACCATTACCTCTGAAGAGGAGGACTTTCATATCAGACAGATTATGAATTTCTGTTAGATGAAGAGACGTGTCAAACAATTCGACAAAACGATTAGCAAAATATGGAAACTGATAAACGATAATGAAGATGAATTCTAGTATTTTAGTGTCTTTAATGATGAGTCTTTTAAGATAAACATGCCTTTGACTGGAAAGGGGCCTCCCAATGAAGAAGAATATGAAAGATTAAGAATCTTGAGGGATGGGAGGGCACTTAGGCATGATATGATGCTCTTGTTGAGAGTGTTTTCTGAAAGAGCTATACTCTCCAGCCTTTTCAATCTCGATAAGCTTTTACAAGCTGTAAACAAAATGGTATTCTTAGATAAACCATGGTTTTATAAAGTTTGTAGTTACTGGAGAACTTAATTAGGATTTATTAGAATGGTTAAGGTGAAGCTAATTAATCTTCCTTTACCTTGGATATTTGGTGTGCCGTTGACCCCGCTATCACTTAAATCTAGCTCTTTTAAGTTAGTCAGATGTGATAATTCTGTCATATAGGGAAAAAAAAAAAATATCATGTATTGTATATATGCATGCTGATTTCAGATGTACATTTTTAGCAAAATGCATGTTGTGAAGGTAAAGGGATTAAGAGAGGACCAATCTCCTTGTTATGTTAAATGATCAAGTCTCATGAAAGCTATTTTAATATGTACATTTTGAAGCTAGTTTGATGCAAATTTTCATTAGTCATCATCATCACGACATAGCCTTATATCGCACAAAGCATAGCCAACTGTATTCGCATAGGGCCATCCTTTATCTTGCTCTGTTATGATTATGTCATGATAAAATTTATAATGTGCTATTAACCAATTATCTTGTGCCATAAGCCCATAATGATACTGTCATAATAGGGCTAAACATATAAACCACCTAACTAAGTGCAAGGAAGTTGAAAGAGAATGAAAACACAGAAAACTTGCCATTAGCAGGAAAACATCCGTTCATGCTAGTCCTGCCAAGATCTAAACTTATGAGTGAAGTGAGTCCACTCAATGATGGAAGGATGTCACTGTTAATATCAGAATTCCAACTGAGGTCTAGTATTTCTAACATCTTCAAACTCGAGAGCCTTTTAAGTTCTGCAAATTATAAAAAGTTTAAACACTGGTATCTTGTTCTTTCAACATTTAAAAAGTAACTTTTACACTGTTAAGTAAGCACTCGAAGAAAAAAACAAGAAATCGACACAGAGAATTTATCTTGTTCTTTCAACATTTACGTGTTTCAAGTCATACATGGGAAACACTAGCTACTAATATTTATAACCGAAAAAACCCTAGCAACTATAGCTATATAGTGAAGGTGGCCCTAAGCCTCCTCCAAACACTTCAAACCGGGTCAGATCATAAATCCATTCGGACCCCCAAATTCTTAGTGACAATATATACATCCCACCTAAATCCTACATATAAGTCCAGGGCTTTTCTTTGTCAACTAAATAATACCCAACCACTCACGTAACCATAAAGCAGCTTTTAGTACCAAAATTAGGTGGATGGTGTTTTCTTGAATACAAATTTACAAGTATGTTTTGGTCAAACACGTAATACTAATTTCAAAATAATACTCAACAATTACGGACCTGTTTTCATGATTCCGCCATCAAGATGATTACTTGACAAATCGAGACTTGTTAGCTCTTCAAAATGAAGAAAGAGGGAAACATTCAATGGCCAAACCTTTTCATCCATGTAACGTCCATCTTCGTATGAAAAGCCATTCAAATAGCACAAAGAAAGCTCCGTGACATGGCCTGTGGTTGTGTTGCACTTGACTCTCTCCCAATCGCAACAATCGCTGCCACTGCCATATTCAATCCAAGTGGAGAGAATATCTTCTCTTTTTGAATCATATAAGTTGATAAGGGAGAACTTGATGTCCAGTAATGCCCTTCTCTCCACATCTATGCAACCTCCTTGCGTTGATCGTCGGAACATCAGAATAGCAAGCATAATAAACAACCACCAGTTACTCCAAGGCAAATACTCCATATTAGTAGTTGTGGTACTCTTATGACGTCTTTTAAGAGACAGACAAATAATGCTTAACATAAAGCCACTACGCATTTCGTTAGACTAGAGATATATAATGAGGCATACAAAACATCACTCACGGAGCCTCTTTCAGATTTTTGTTGACTAATAGAGATATTTATAAGTTTCTATGCATTTCGTTAGACTAGAGATATATAATGAGGCATACAAAACATCACTCACGGAGCCTCTTTCAGATTTTTGTTGACTAATAGAGATATTTATAAGTTTCTATTTCGGGTCTATTTAGGGATGTTTGGATAAATTAGTTTATAACTTATTAGTTTATTGTTTATTAGTTTATTTGTGTTGGGAATAAGCAATAAGCAAATGGGAGATGTTTATTAAAATCAGCTTATTTAGCTTATTCCTATCACAATAAGCTGATTTTTATTCAAACACTTAAACTTTGCTTATTACAATGGAAATAATAAACACTCTCTTTTTCCCTATCCACACCCCCTAAATATAAATAATCTTCTAATGTTTACATTTTCTTTTTTCTTAAATATATAATCATTAAGCAATAATTTACTTTTTACCTATATAACTATTAAGTAATTATGAAAATATCATTTTATTTTCGTCAAATTATAATCATTATTTTTTTTTCTTTTATTTTAATATGGGTCCTTTTAATATAGATTAGTTTTTCTTATAATCTTATTATTTTTTATTCTTTCTTGGTATTTAATTTATTGATTTATCTTTGTTTTTCATAATTTAGAAAATATTTTAATTATTTTGACGTTTTGTTCGAATACATTGTTTAATGTTTTTTAACGTTTTATTTGAATATTTTTTCTACTATTTTTGATGTTTTGTAGGGAAAAGTATTTAGTACCAAATCTTGTCTTGTATCGGTACCGTACTAGAACCAATACCGAATTTAAACATATTGGATGATACTCAGTACTTTAAAATCACGAAATTCAAGATTCGGCACCATCGCTACTGATGCTAGTACCGAAATTCGAGATTCGGCTAAAGGCTTTCGAAAAAAAACTAGCTTTTAATTAGATAAATATCTTGATTTTTTAAAATTTCCTCACTATACTTGTGGGTCGAAGGCACCAACGTCGACCCACTGGATTATGTATCCTGGAATATTGGATTAATGTTATGTTGGTTATATGATAGATTGGTAGATCTATATGATGACCTGTGTATACTGAGTATGTTTTAGACTGGTATATTTGTATGATTGCCAGTACTTTTTGGTTATTGATTGCTATTGTATATGTCGACATCTTATGGTTTATTGGGTTGAGGTGGTCCTTCTTTATGTTGAAGATCAAGATACCTGGGGCGGTCCGGATAAACTAAAGGCCCGAAAGGCAGTCCAGTCAGGTCGAAGGCCCGGAGAGCGGTCTAGATAGGTTGTAGGCCATGTGAAGCGGTCCAGTCAGGATGAAGGTTCATATATTCATGTTGTTATCTGTATGTTTGTGTGTGGTACTTTGGAGGAACTGACTAAACTTTGGCTTACAGTTTGATTGTTATCGTTTCAGGGACTTCAGAGGATAAGGGCAAGGCGAATGCTTGATCGTGCACATCCTTCAGATTTTATGAAACTTGATTTTGGGATACTCTGATTTAGGATTTTGACATTTGGGAACTATATTTTGTAAACATTTATGGTTTGTGGTTTGGTTTTGAAAATGAAAAATTTACCTTGATTTTTGGGACATTACAAGTTGGTATCAAAGCCATGGTTTGAGCTAATTGGATGACCATTCGTGTGAATCCATAGTCAAACTAAGGATCTATAAAAGTTTTCAAAATAATTTTCAAAAGCTTTTTTTAAAATTGTTTCCAAAATGGTTTTCAAGGGTAACCAAAGAAGGATGAGAGGTGTACGATCAGCCGGAGCAAGAAAGTATACCCCACGATACCCACATTGTTATTTACTTATGATGATTATGATAGAACTACATGTTGATTGATAGGCTAAGGATCTTCAAGAATTGCATGATAGAATTGTCTGATGTATGACTGGTAGCCTAGGAGAACTTCTTGTGTGATAGATATCATTACTGTAGTTTCTTAGTGTGTGCATCATAGTTGTACATAACTAAGATTTTATAGTCTGAGAATGTTTGATTTAGCCTTATTTCCTATTCCTTGTATGGTTGTGGGCTTAGGGTAGAATCAAGTATTCGACTTTCTATGGAATCCAACGTTATATATGATTAGCATGCACGAGCGGCTGCAGGGTTGGTAGAAGTTTCATGAGTGAGTGTGGGTGTAGCAGGCCAGTTGAGGGATGATTAGCCACTCTCGAGATAGTGAGAATAGGATGTATGTGTATACTAGTTGTTGGGTTTGTTTTCGGGTAGTTTGTGATGATCCATTGAGACAAATACGGTTAGGTGTGGAAGGTAGTATATGCCCGTACTACTGAAAGCACAGGACCCATATGTGTAGCAAAGAAGTCACAATCCCATGAGGGTATAGTCTCTCTGTGATAGTTATAACAGTATAAATTCTGGAATTTCTAATATATTTTGGTTCATTTTCAGTCTGGTGTTCATGAGAGGATCTGGTTCAGAAGCTGGCGGCCCGGAGAGGCCATGATTAACAAATGATGATATCCATGAGTTGGTCGCTACTAAGGTGGTTGCTACTGTCCGGGGTGCATCCCCGAGGTCTTTGGGTCTATCAAGATCACGATGATTGAGTTGTTCGATGAGCGGTATGTCGTTGTGTCTGAGGTTGCTGCTGCTGCAGCTACCACAACTGTTGCTTCTGCAGGGGTTCAAGGGAGAGGATCATCCGAGTATCGGGACTTCAGCAACACGAAGCCCCCTGAGTTCGAAGGGGTCAAGGACCTGATTATGGGTATGAGATGGATTTCAGACGTGATGGGCTATTTCTGATGGGTTTGAGCCATAAGAACATTCCTATGTGCACATGCAAACCCTAAAATGCTTGGATCTAGGTTTCTCTAATGAACATGCTTTTCATCCAAGACTTGCAAACCTTAGATCTAGAGTAAACAATTCGAAATTGACATAATAGAATAGATCTAGATGATTACCTCTTCTTGAAAGCTTGAATTTTGTTGTCCTTGGAGCTTAGAGTCACAAATGTCACTCCTCTAATGGCTTACAAACACCAAGAAGCAAGAGCATGATTTGGAGAGAGGTTGGAGGCACAAAATCGGCTCTAGGAATTCCTTATGGTTTCTGGTAGCCGATTTCTGTAGCCCTTAGGTTCTTTAAATACTTGAGCTGCTAGGGTTACAACCTGAAACCCTAATTGGATAACTTAGGCCTTAAGCAATCCAATGATCCTTCTAGAATAAGGCTTGGATGAATTCAAGGAGTCCATACACCTTAATTTCGTCCACCCTATGATCCATAAGGATCCACATCCCAAAACCAACTATTACACAATTGACAATTCCAGTCCCCTTTATTTAATTAATCTGTTTTAGCCACAGAATTAATTCTTAATTAATTATTGTCTAATATTAATTAAACTATATGATTTATCCTTTAATATATTAATCATATAATATATTAATAAATCATAATAACCTCTTTATTCATAAATCATCCTATCATGTTGCTTAGGTGAAGACAACCCAAAAGGACCATACACAACCAGGTCAAGTACTTACCAAATGTAGTTACGGGCTTAGACACTAATCCAACAGTCTCCCACTTGGATAAGTCTAGTAACTATAAATGTAAGCACAATCCGATTAGCAATCGTAGCTCTCAAAGACGTTGTCGAACTCTGATCTTTTCAGTAACCTGTCCTTTAGATAAGGGATCGTATAGTCCTCCATTCTAGATATCGTGCGCACAATTACATGGAACATAGTCATACTTATTGTCCAACAGTTTGTTTCTCGATCTCTGATTCGTTTGACATAGAACTTAATCGAACACATCAATTCAGTCCTGACTGAGCCCGGCACATAAGTCAAACCAAATCATCGATGGGCCCTGATATCGCTTTTATCCTCTTAGGATAAAAGGAACAGATAAACTTCGACTTATATGCATTTAATATTCACTAATTAAATCATACACAACAATGCATTTTATAACATCAAGTTACTGATGCGTTTTCGCATTATCAATGCATAACCAATTACCAAACAATAAACCATATATCTAGGTTTTAAGACCATATGATATTATCGTCTTGTGATCACTCGAGATAAATTCCATGAAGTGATTCCAGCAAGCGAGGGTTTATTCCAATGCTCAAATCAAACTCATAAGCACTCATGAACGTTGTAGCAAACTTTTGCTATGTCTAATACATTTTAGAAAATCTACACACCAATTTATGACAGTCTTCATTCATACCTACTTCCAACATATGAACGACTGTGGACGGCTTGAATAATTCTTATTATTCCGGAAGTCAAAACATGCAAAAATGAAACAATAGGTAAACAATTCACATAAGACAGTAACATTACTAATAAATAATACTCTTTTATTTAATCATCAAATGTTAATTACAGTTTATCTATTACATGTTTCTAAACTATCTAATCTAAACTAATATCGTCCTTCAGCCCGATGCTCCTAGCGTGCTGCAAGTGCTTAAACCTGCTCAGTCCCTTCGTAAGTGGATCTGCTGGGTTATCCTCTGACGATACCATCTTTACTACGAGGAGTCCTTCTTCCACCCGATGTCGAATAAAATGATATTTTCTGTCGATATGCCGAGATATGCCGTGATCCCTCGGTTCCTTGGTCAAGGCAACCGCTCCTTCATTATCACAAAAAATTTCCATGGGCTCCTTTATGGCTAGCACAACTCCAAGGTCTCCAATGAAGTTCTTTAACCATATCGCCTCCTTTGACGCTTCGCTCGCTGCAATGTACTCTGATTCGCACGTTGAATCAGCCACGGTCTCTTGCTTGGAACTTTTCCAA